TAATCAACCGGTGATATAATAAATAGGACTTTTGTTATTTCAATGGTAATTATGTTAGCTGTAAGCTTTTAGCTTTAGCTCGGTTAAAAATTCAATTCAAAAATTTTAGGCGTTTGATAGAGTTTGGCACCCGGGACTGCTGAACAAACTCCGAAAATTCCTACCACCTACATACTTCCTCATAATCCGTTCCTACCTTACTGATAGATACTTTAAAGTAAATCACAATCCCCTTTTTTCATTATTCATCCCTTTTTTCCCAGTCTGCTGGTGTTCAACAAACGCTCTAAACTTCCCATTAATTACAAAAGACTTATATACTTGACTATAATAAGACCTATTTGGACTTACGGAATTGAGCTATGGGGCTCCACTAAACCATCGAATTCCTCTCGCATTCAATCCTTACAATCCAAAATCCTTCGTAAAATCATCAATGCTCCTTACTTTGTCACTAATAAAATTATCCATAAAGATCTTAATGTTCCTTATGTTTCAGATCTGGCCCAATCCAGATACCTATCCTTCCATAATAAACTTCAGAATCATCCCAATCCTCTCGTTTCTAACCTTGCTTCCTCTTCAATTCCTGATAACCCTCCGAGGCGTCTGAAAAGAAGATGGCCCCGTGATCTCCTAATGTAGTCATATCATTAGAGTGCTACCATTGGGTAGTTACTCAGCAAGTGTATTCATGTCATTATATCATATCAATTATGTCCAAATTTACTTGATGTATTTATGTAATACAGTTGTAAATGTCATAAAGAAATAAAAAAAAAAAATTTTTAGCGGGAAGTTAAAAATTATTAAAACTTAAAAATAAAATTTAAAAATTAAAACTTAAAACTGGAATTAGCCACCTTCAGATCACATTCCTTCAACTCCTACCTATCCTCCCTCTCTTCTCGCGACAATTCCCTTTGGAAAACCACAACCAAAATCCTAAATCCTCACCGCATTTCCCATCCCCTCCGACGAGATGATGGCTCCTGGGCAGCATCTGACGAAGATAAGGCTGAGGAGTTCGCCATTCACCTATCCAATACATTTATTTCACATCCGGAATCCCATCCTGCCCACACCATAACAGTAGAAGAACTCCTTACATCACCAATCCCACTTTCCTTGCCCCCAAAAGCTATTCATCCTTCCGAAGTGAAATTTCAATTAAAAAAACTAATCCCCCGTAAAGCTCCTGGACATGATCTCCTTACCCCTCAAATCCTTCGACAACTTCCATCCAAAGCAGTCATATTCCTTACATATATCTACAATTGTATCCTACGCACCACCTACTTCCCTCTGCTATGGAAACACTCCACTATTATCCTTTTCCCAAAACCAGGCAAACCTCCCAATATCTCAACATCCTATAGACCAATTAGCCTACTCCCAATCCTTTCAAAAATTTTTGAAAAGATCCTGTTGAAACGAATCCTACCCATTATAGAATCCCAAAATATTCCTTCCCATCAGTTTGGTTTTCGCTCCCAACATTCTACTGTTCAACAAGGACTCCGAGTTGTTGATCATATTTCCTCAGCTCTAGAAAACAAGGAATACTGTTCGGGTGCATTTCTGGACATTGCACAGGCATTTGACCGGGTATGGCACTCCGGACTGCTCTTCAAGCTTAAAATCCATTTACCTCAGTCCTTGTACCTAGTCCTCCGATCCTACCTCTCTGACCGCTCCTTCCGAGTTCGCTGTGGAACAGAATTTTCCAATATCTACTCCGTTAAAGCCGGTGTTCCCCAAGGCAGCGTCTTGGGTCCCGTGCTTTACATCCTCTTTACTGCTGACATCCCTGTTCATCCCGATACTTTTCTTGCAACATTCGCTGACGACACCGCAATCTTATCATCCAACTCTGATCCCAACATAGCATCCTTAAATCTCCAAAACCACCTCACCTTGATTGAGCACTGGTGTAATAACTGGCGCATTAAAGTTAATGAATCTAAATGCCAACATATTACCTTCACACTCCGACGCAGCTCCTGTCCACCAGTACACTTTAATTCCATCCTGCTTCCTTACTCAGACACAGTCCGGTATCTTGGTTTTCATTTAGACCGAAGACTAACGTGGAACCCACATACTAGACTCAAAAGACAAGAACTCAACCGACGATACGGCCAGCTATACAGACTACTAAACAGAAAATCCAAACTTTCTATTGAAAACAAATTACTTATCTACAAGACAATACTGAAACCTATATGGACATACGGACTTGAACTGTGGGGGACAGCAAAAGCTTCTAACATCAAACGTATTCAATCCTTTCAATCTAAAGTCCTTCGAACAATAGTTGATGCTCCGTTCTATGTAAATAACAAAATCCTACACCATGACCTTAATATCCCATTTGTCCTAGACCTTATTCCAGAAAAATTCTCCAAATTTCACCAGAACCTTACCTATCATCCAAATCCCCTTGCACAATCTCTATCCAGCACCACCCATCCTTACAATCCTCCTCGAAGGTTGAAGCGGCAGTGGCCCAGAGACCTTCTGTAAATAAGCATCTATTGGAGTTTTGGCAATGGCCAGATCCTCCACTCAAGCCCGAGTGTGTATGATTAGGTTAGTTCTTTTGTTTATATACATTTATTTTATTTTATTGTATTTATTTTTATTTTATTTTATTGTATTTATTATTATTAAGTTTCTGTATTATTATTATTTTTTTTTATTTATTGTAAATAGAGTGTGAGTGTGTTCTCTGAACACTATTACAAATGTCCTTGATGTGACAGAATGTAATATTTCTAAATAAACAAATAGCGGGAAGTGAAAGTTGTGTGTTGAGCGCACCAGATTTTTTTTTCAGATACGAATTTAAACATTAAAAAAGTGGGATGAAAATAAGTGTATTATCACACTTTCATTTCTTAAATATTAAAAAAAAAAACATCAAAAGCTTTGTTAACCGTTTTATTTCAATGAAAATAAAAAAAATATTTATTTTATTATACCATTATTGTAAATAAAGTGTTAATTTTTGATAGACCACTTTTTATAACTTCCCTCTCCCCAATCATACATTTTTCTATCCAAAACAAACTTCAATCAACCTTCTTTTCGTTCAAAAATGGGCCTTGAAATTTAATTCTTAGCCAAAAGAAATCCTAATCAAGTTTCAATGTTTTATAATTATTACTGGAATTAATTAATAATTTTCGAAAATATGTTCTAAAAATAAAATTCTTAAATTATATTTAATAAAAAAAATTGAATATTACAATTGCAATAGAAAATATAGGTTTTCGAGTTTCCTAAAAAATTGTTAAAAATTATTAGGGTTCACTTTGGGAATAAACGACTCGAGTATGTTATTTTGTTTTGGATTATCAAGTTTCTTTATTTTTTTGGATGGTGGTTAGGACTTTTTAGGACAAAAATAAAATACAGTAAATAAATTCATTGTTAAATAATTTACGGTAATAGTAATAGATTAATAGTAACTGATGGCCATTCTAGGGTCTAAGAAGTATGTATGAACTCTCAATTCAACGATGCTTCAAATTTGCCGCGGGAAATGTGATAAAATCTTAGGATATGTAGCTACATATAATTATCATTGAACATAATCTACAATTTTAATAATAGTTACATATGCCGCGGTAAAATAGCGAGTTAAGCTTAGTCATCTAGTCGACGTTTCCTATTTTCTTAATTGATTTTAATTTTATTATTTTTTATAATACAGTTGGTAAATATCATAATAAAAATTAAAAAAAAAATATATATATTTTTGTTCTTCGAAATATTGGGTGGGCGAAACAACATCGTCGACATCAGCCTTATTTAGTAAACGTGCTGGTTTAACAAGCTTTATATTTTCTTAAAATTCATTTTATTTTTCTGTTCGTGACTCTACTTCTACTAGATTTCATCAATGGTAAACTGTATCTCTATTTAAAAAATGTTGTAAAATGTATTTTACAAAAATATTATTAAAAATAGAATTTTGGCTTTTGAATTCTTGTCTGTGGTATGCGGGGCAGAACATTGAATAGTCAAAAAGAAGCATCTTTTAAGAACAATCGCTGCGGAGATGATTTTCCACAAAATCACAGGTAAAACTGAGAGAAAGATACTTCAGAACTAAGTTAAATATTGCTCTAAAACATTTTTATAATTACCTCCTACTAATCTTCATGAATCCAAATATTTTTATTATCACTAATATGATTCAAATTTGGGAAGGAGACGGTGGTGATGTAGTGAATACTTATCCATTATATTTTAACTAAATTCGAATTTTTACTCATTGAGGTTCACACATCCCCTAAAGGTGCGTTTAGACATTTCATAAACTAATATATAAATGTTTATTTAATTATCTAGCTGTTAGTTAAGTTAGATCATTGTGTTTGCCATAGTTTACGAAATGTCTAAACGCACCTTAACAAGAACCCACTGAATCATTTTCATCAGGTAAGAACGACTTGAGGAGCCATTTTAGGCAGGGTTGCCGCGTGAGTTTTAGGCGCCCAGGTTCACTGAACTAATTAACACCCCCCTTCCCCCGAAAGAGTCAGGTAGTGTTTTCTTATTTTTACCTAATATTTCAAGATATACTTTTTATTTCCATCGATCGCCGATAAATTTGGAAGCTCTAGTTAATTTTTCTAACATTAACTGGAACTTTTCGTTTCATGACATTGGAAATTTCTTCCATTCATGGTGCCCCAGGATGTCAATGGTCCGGATTATCAGATGATGTCCGACGTATTTTATGAAATTGAGTTAGGAGTAAATAATTCAGATTGTTGTGAATAAAAAATTAATTAAAATTTGATTTTTATTAGCAGTGGCCCAATACAGTGTATGATAGAGGAAATCTTGGTCCCCTTAATTTTACTTCACTTCATTTGGCCTCGAAAAAAATCTGTCAGCAGTCTTCTTTTTTTGGCTTTGAGACAAAGTTAAACATTTTAATGCTTTGAGGAATTCAAGTACCACAATACAAAACATTTAATCAGAACTTGTATGCAACATGACTTTAATGTTATGCTTAAAACTTAACACTGATGAATATAAAGGGTCAAGAGCAAAATTAAGAATGTTTGGAAAATGCAATTGAAAGCAAATCTAGAAACAAAGCATAGATTCCATCTGAAATAAGAAAAAAAAACCCACTCTAGTGATTTAAATAAAATCCATCAGAAATGTGAAAGAACAGACATTTTAACGTAAACATTTTTTTTTTTTTCATTTATTTAACATTAATAAAATTATTTCTCAAGGTAAACAATAATTCTAATACAATATAAATACATCTGTGATGCATCTTATGCATCTATCATACATAATCAAAATTGACATGAGTATATGTAAGGCTCATCAGTTTTGTAGTTGTTTTTTTTAATGAAAGACAAAGGTCAGAAAGACCGGTTACTTATATATATATAATAGATATATATTCCATTATTTACAAATACAATAAAATCAAGGAAGACGGATGTACACATTACTGTAAAAACAGTTTTGTAAATAAAAACGTAAACATTAATAAAAAGTTATTGACAAACATTGGATAGAAACTTCAAACTTCAATCATAAGTGTAAAGATATGGTTTACACATTTCTTCATTAAAATGTTAATGAAATTTCTTTTATTCAAGAATTTTTTCTTCAAAAATCATATTCTGTAATATAATTTTATGAGAATGATTTTTTAGCTAAACATTTCAGCAACTTCTGTTCCATTTTAATCATGAAAGTAGGTCAAGCTAGCAGGATAAAGTACAAAATATTTACCAATCAAATTACACAAGCAATCATAAAGAAAAGTTCTAAATAATAATAAAACATTTGTCACTGAAACGTTTTTTTTCTTTTCTTTTTCAAAGACCTTCAAAGGATATTTAAAATGATCAATACATATTAATAATACCAATTTCACTCAATGATAACACACTTATTAACTTATAACATGTTTAAACATTCACTTATTTAAACAATTAAACATAATAACATTAATAATTTATTTTACAACAGGGTAACTCATTATTACAGCCATTTTCAAATTGGTACAAACAGTCGATAAAAAAACTATTAACTTCAACAGCTTTCAAATATTAGATGTAGAAGACTACTCAGTCAAGGAATTAATGCAATTTATAGAAATTAAAATTAGCAAACCAAAACATATATTTCCTCCGATATATATTTTTGGTTTGCAAGGTTCAATCATAAAAGCCAACATAAGTTGCCAATATAATTAGGACGGTTACAATATATTTAAAGATAAAGTTCCATACCATTCATTATATAAAAATACTAACTTACAAATTTTATTTTTAAACTTTAAATCAATAATATGATAACACAGTAGGAAAATATAATTTATTTTAATGTGAAAATGAATACTATATCTAATAAAAATCTACAATAAAGGAAAATCAATTTGTCAGCTTAAGGTGAAATAAGAATCCATTTGAGAGACATTAAAATAAATTTTAGAATTTTGTAGAAAACTAGATATTATAAACAGTAGTTATATTGACTAGAGAAACATTTTTCAGGAGTGGGTAGATTCATCTGCAGCTGAATGGGAACAACAACCAAGACTATTGTCATTTATACTCTCTGAAATTATTTCAGTTGAAGATGTAGGACTAGAATCTTTCAAAACAAAATTATTTCAATTATCTTCATATAAATTTTACTTAAATAGAAAACAAAATAATTTAATATTTACTTTCATGTTTAAGGCAGTGTTCACAAGGAGCTTTCAGTTTAGAAGTCTTTAATTTCAAATGCAATAAATGCTGTCCAAATAAGGCATAACATCCACCAGTTGACAACAATACAACAAGAAGTAGATAAAAGTTGTAAGACATAACCAATAACATAATAATGTAACCAAAGGTTATTTCAAGGGCATAGATGATAACTTCAGAAAATCTCCATAGATTCCTATAATAATGTATATTAAACTAAGTATTCATTAAAACTTAGCATCATATTCATCAATTAAATAATTTCCTAACCTTCTAGCATGAAATCGAGGTGCGCTATTTATTAAAACAGTATTATCTGATAAACATCGTTGGCGATTTGGTACCTTTAAGATAGCGGAATTTAGCTTCATCGTGGCAGAACATACTTTTAAAGCTTCATACATAATAACGATAACAATTATACATGCACAAGCAAAGAGAAATCCTAAAAAAAAAATTTAGATAAATCAAGTTTGATACTAGATAAACAGAAAGTCAACAATAAATACCTGTCACTGAAGTAACATTAAGTTTATTGAAAAGGAGATCATTTAATTGGTATCCTAACCAAAATGACATGTGCATGTTTAATACAATTAAAGGATATGTTAATAATAAAAGAGCTGGAAAAGAAAAAATAGATTCACAAAAATTTGATTGCAAATATATATTACATAATGGTTATCTATGATACTTTTAGTGATAAGCATACCAAAACAAGATGTATAAAAGTATATTAGAACTATTTCATTACTTAAATTATATTTTATGTTATTAACACTTTGTGAACAGCAACTTCAAAATTTTTTTACACAGAGACATTAATACAAATTCTGTGAAAGTTAACACTGAACTTCACAGCCAGGTTTCACTACTGTAACGGCCGAATGCAGTGATGTTTGGAGAATAATCGGAGGGTAATTTTAAAAATCCCGACACAGAATGAGTACAAATTACAAATTTCCAAAATATTCACATAGTCCCTTACATGCTATATCTCTTTAAGAAAAATCCAAAAATAAGGTATGGATCTCCGATATTAAATCTACAGTTTAGTATCTTATTACATTAAAATTATTGCACCTTCCAAAGTACAGCAAATTAAATTTAATCTTTTTAACTTTATTATCATAATAAAACAATAGACTGCAAATTTTAAAATAGCCCCTTTCCTAGGACTTTTATAAATAATATATAATATTCCTCATTAAAAATAAGGTATATTTTTTTGTCGTTGTTTATAAGTTGGTAGTAATTTCAAACTGGGTCCAGGTTAGATGGTTTATGTTTATGATTTAGTTTGTCGTTGATGTTATATTTCTTATTGTTTCATTGTAAAATTGTTATATCAAATAAGTAAAACGTATTAGTTTTTGGTGAGGTAAATTATGTGAAATAGTTTATTTATTAATTGTATTTAAATTCAAAATGTTCCGAAATTACTTAGCTAACACTAAAGAAGACGACAATGGAACTGAAAATTGGTCATATCCTGCTGGTTATGAAAGATTTAATTCAGCGAACATACCAAGAGGGTAGCTATATTTATTGTTATGTTATCAAACATCTATATAATTTGTTGGTTAAACTATTCCGGTTAAATGTTAATTTTAAGTTTCATTAAGAATAGGAATTTCTTATTAAAGATTAATTGTTTATTAAATGAGTTTCAGTTAGTTACTATTAGTGAAATATTTCTGATTTGTTACTTGAGAATTGTAGAATTTATCTTTTAATTCACCAAAGTACTTCAACTCTTGTAGTTATGTGGAAGTTGAGATTGATTTAGTAATTGGGAAGCTGTGGATTTTTACAGAAAGTCATCTGTTATAATAATTAAGTTTTTAGCAGTGAATCACAAAACTAAAGGAAAGTCCTCATCGTCATGATTAAAGACTGGATTTCTATGTTATTGCACTTTTTATTCGCTTACCTGTAAAAACTCTGGATCCGAAAATCTATGCCTTTCAGGATCTGTAGAATAACGTATCTGAATTTTATTTTGCACGTTTTGCCATTTTTTTTTTTGGATTAAATTGCACGATTTTGATTTTTGTTGCATTAAATTGCACTTCAATGATAAATTAGATTATTTACAAATACTAATTTATATGTGTGTGTTAATATTTATTTGACTATATTGTTCAAATTCCATTCATAATTCAAGATATAAAATATGAGGAAGGTAAATGATTCTGTGACAAGCAAAAATCGTATTTAATATTTCAAAAGGAAGAAGTAAACACGAGTGAGAAATATATTTAGAAGAACTTGCCTAAAGTATTGGATAATAAAAAGCTGCTCTCCTAGAATAACCTGTTTTGTTATTGTTTTAACTTGAATCCTCCCTCATTCATTCAGCTCTTCAGTATCCCTTCTGGCTTTGAATTGATTTTTAGTAATTTCATTGTTATTAAAAAAATATATATTAATGCTCAAAGTAAAATGTAGCTTCCAGACAAAAATTAAAATATGGATATAAAAATACTCTGATTTCAAATTTGATAAGAAAGATTTTTTTTTTTGAGAAAGTAAGCCTTGTGAAAAATAAATTGGGTGATCTGAAATCACTGATAAACACTAGCTGATTCAGGATTTATTTTTGGGGGCTTCAGCCCGAAAGCTATTTTTTTTCATATATATAAAACAATAATTAATTTCCTTAAAAAAGAAAGAAATGAACCACCTATATAAAATGGTGTTTAAGTGGTTCTTGAAGCCCTATTAAATGTAATTACATGGACAAGAATACTTTAAGTTGTAGTTCTTAATATTTTTTTCTGTATAATATGGTTATATTTTACCATTTTTAGGGAAGGGAGAGCTTCAGCCCGAAACTATTACATTACATTTGTATTACATTTATTGTTTTCGTTAGTTGATTATGATCTGGAATTTTATATTCTATGTTACATTTTTTTTCTATCCCTGGTGTAACTTAAGATCTGATAAGACTTTGATGTATTATTATTATAAGTTAAACACTATTGATGATTTTGCACTTTCATAGGTGTTAATTGCACAATTTAACATACTTTTTATTGCATGATTTAGCACATTTTGAGTTTTTTGCTGCATGTTTTTCGGATTTTTATTGCACGAAAATCCGGTTTCTAGTCATAGCAGTGAAAATTTGCAATATGAGGTTTTTTTTTTTGTTTTTTTTTAATCATAATTTATGAGTTCAGTATTATATCATTTTGTTCTTTTTGTTTCAGTCGTTTGGGAAAAAGAAGAACTATTAACCCGTCAACTGAAATAAAGAGAAGTACTTTAAATGGAGTATCTTCAGAAAACAGAAGTGATAGAGGTGACTTAAAAAACTTTGGTAGTAAGACATCATGTTTAACCCATCCAGTGAATTCTTTTTTAACGCCGAATTACAAGAAAATAGATAATGGGCTGGAAAGAAATTGTGATGGAAGTATTGAGAATAGACCCCTTGATTTTAATGTTGGAAATTCAAATTCTTATAGAATTCCTGGCTCATATCCTTTACAAGAAGTCAATAATATTATTAATGACAATAAAATTTTGGGTATTGACAAACTATCAAACATATCAGGTCCACTACACCAAGATCCGCAACAGTCAGATGTTAAAGTAACTCAAAATAATAGTTATGAAGATGAAAAAGGACAGAGGATTGCACACAATTTTTCTTCAGAAGAATGCACACAGCATTATACTTTGTCATCCAATAATGGTACTGTATTTAGTGACTCATCCCAATCTGAACTTTGTAATAATTCCAGCTTTATGACAGCACATGATTATAATTTTGAGAAAAACCAAAGCTACCATCATGACTACATGAAAACTCCTGGAAAAGGATATGGTTTGTTTGACATGGTTACTTCTCCTTTAGTTTCCCTTTCAGGAAATACTGATGATGATAATGACAGCCTTCGAAAGTTTTTAGTAAAAACGCCTGCAATAGGGCGTTATGACCCTTTAAATACACCTTACAGATCCCAAATAAAACATGATTTATTTACACCTTTTAAAAGTAAAATCCATACTCCTAGAAATGATAAGCAACTAGATAGTGTATCTGAAAAGAATGTTGAATTTGAACGATCTGAAGATAGTAGTCAAGAATTTGTATCGAGGTTAGAAGATAGTTTAAGAACTGATTGCAGTATTAATTCAGGTAAAAAATTATGTTGTAGTGATAATAATGATAAAATAGAGACTTCAGCTTTAATTGTAGGAATGAATTCAACTCCTTTACCTATCGCTAATGATTTTAAAAGGAAAAATATTTCTGAGTTGAACAAACAACCACCTTCAGTTGAAAAATTAGTGAAAAGACAAATATTTGAAGGTCTTGGTTGGACATTGCCACATTCATCATTTGCAATTCAATCTCCTATTAAAGAAACACCTTCAACTGTTGTTAAGAAGAATATTGATCCAAAAAATGATTTATTACCGATCATTGGACCTGAATTTCAACCAATGTTTGATATTTTGAATCAACCTTTATGTTTGAATAAAGTAAGTACGGATTCTTTGTTACAGTCCAAATCATTTGATCATAAGACTGAAAATCAATCACAAGATTCTAAATCTATTTCATCTATTGACAATAAAGTCACCTATTCCAGTGAAGGATCTCTTGCTCAGGAAGATGTTACCATGAGATCTCCAATTATAGAAGAACCAATAAATCTTCCCATTCATAATAATGTAAATAATACATGTAAATTAAATGATTGTTCTGACGAACCAGATTCCAGTACACCACGTCTGAAACACTCTTCAACGACAGATAATACTATGAAATCATCATCAAATAATGTCTTACTAAATGAAAATGAATGTACTGTTGTTATGCATCCTAAAGACGAACGGAAAAATGAAAAGATGGAATCCAATGAAACTATCATCTTGAAGCAGTCAAGTCCACCTAAAGTCCCTGACAAAAAATCAACAATTGAGGGCCTAAATAATAGGAAACCAGATACAAAAACCAAACCCGAATGTTTCATTGAAAATCCTATATTTGCATGTCAAAGGCAGATAATGAGATCACCTCAAGCTAATATTACTGTTAATGAGAAGCCGTATACTGTACTGAGTATGCTTGGAAGAGGTGGTTCTAGCGAAGTCTATCTGGTAATTATGTTTATTACTATGTTATTCTTAATTACTTGTTTATTTTAATTCGTTGATAAACCAAAGAGGAAGGTAATGAACTTTTTAATGTATACAGGCATAGTTATATCTTTTATAACTTACATTTATAACATATAACAATGTCCATTGCCTTGATTTGGTGAATTTTATAGCATTTTTTTTCAAACTTAAAAATAATTTTAAATGTTTATATTTATTTAAGAAATTACATTTTATTTTTTTGCAAACATAGGGTTTCTGTTAAATAATATTAGTTTTCAGAAATTATTATTTATAATTTGTTGTCACTCTCCATTACCTTCTACGACTTTCTATATTAGATATTGCTTTTTCTAAAATTCTTTACTTTCCAATGATAAATTATACATATGCTATCTGATTGTTATTTCCGGAGATTCATTTTCGACTTGGGTTAACATTTTTCTTTGTTTCTCTTTTTATTCAATAATCAAATTCTTTCAAACTTTATATTCAGCCATTTTGTTATTTTTAATGCTAATAAGAGACAGTTATTTTTTTTTTTTAAATAAACAAATTTAAGGTAATTCAGAGGAAGACATATTGACTCTTTGGCATTTAAGCCCTGTAAGGTGACATCGATGTGGATAAGACCTAGCCGATCTTAAAGAACTCTTAATGATACACTTGAAAATTGTGAAATGCGTATCACTGTTGATATAAAGTGGCACTTCTGGTTAGCCAGTTTTGAGGAAAAAGTTGCTGTCACATCTGAGCCTTATAAAAACCTTTAATATTGTGTCATACGGCTTTTCGTTTTTAAGATAAACTGTTAACATACACATACACTGACCATTTTGTGGAAATTGGTTACTTTGACTCAGGAACTTCAAAACGTGTATTTCCGTTGAAATCTGAGATTCAAGAATTTTCACGATCGCAATTATATTCTATTTCCCTTACTATATATTACATATATAGGTAAGTGAAAGTAAAAAAAACCTGTACCACTATAAACTATGAAGACTCCTGGATTCAGTATTGTGTAAGGATGTGACTTAACCGAGATCACATTCAACGGCCAGGTTTTCCCACTTAATTAATTATTTAATTAAGGAGACTCACTTTACAGAGATTGGATATGACTCAAGAGGCATACGAAACAGAGTATTGGAAGTCAGCACCCTACCACTGAGCTATCCCACTCCCACCATTTGTAATTATTCATGAAATTTCATTATAAAATTTTGCCAAAACTATCTTGCAATTGTTGGAACATTTTATTTTATTCTCTATGGTTTTTATAAAATTCCTATCAGCTTTGGAATTTGTTGTCAGCTTATCAGCTTTAAACTTCCTATTACATCCTTCAAAATAAATAAACTGTATTCAAGCAATTATTTTACTTTCCTACCGCTACTATGTAAGAAAATTATTGCTGTCGGGTCAAATTTTAGATGTGCAGTTTTCAAAATATTTTTTTATTTCAGAGCCCCCTGAGTTCCATTTTAGCCATTGGTTCTGTCTTTGCCTAGAATAACAGAACAGGTTGACTGATTTGGTTGCTTCTTTTTTAGTTTTGGAGGGTGTTGTTTACTGAAAGAAATTGGGCGCTCCCTGTGTAATAAGAGAAAAACATGGTTTTCCATAGACTCCAGCTCAAAAATGGCTCTATGAAACTTTCCTATAATTTTCTACTTAAAGTCAATTCAATTTTTGTTCATGTAGTGATTTCCTGAGAAAATTCTGAAAAAATTTATAAAGAAAATAATAATGTTCTTCCGTACCTCGCCTAATAGGCTATATGGAATTTTCCTGGGTCAGAGCTCACTCTCTGGTGGGAAATTTAAAATCTCCTCCGGCACCGGGATAGGAAGTCGTACTTTTTTTTTTTAATCTCATATCTTCAGTTATCTGGTTGCCGGGCAACTCGCATGTAGTGCACACACGTTAGCCCATTCCTCCATCCCACCCCCTACTGTTTTGGTACCTAACTTACAAAATATACATTCTATGGTAAAATGTATCTTTTTAAAGGTTACATAAAAAAAGAAAAAAAAAAATCATTGGAATTGAACCTTTGATAAAGCCTATTCTATTTCCTACATGTTTTATTTTATTACTTTCCAACCGCCATTAGGTAAGGAAAATATTTCATAAAAAAAACAAAGACTCCTTAAAAGATTATTTTGCAGCTCAAAGTATCATTGGTTGCATACATGATCCTCTTTTTTGTTTCTAGCTATACCATTGGTTGATGTGTTAGTCCATGTATATGAATTCAGAAACTTGTTCAAATTGGTATTAACCAAAATTCACTCTAACTCTTGGATATCTGAGTTTTTTTCTGATACCATGTATTTGACCTTATTTTCATTTATGATGAATCCCAGTCGTTTAGCAGCAGCCTCAAGAGTCATAAAAGTCTCCAATAAATATCATAAAAACTAACTCCAACAATATTGTAACAGCTGATTTATGATTAATATATTAGAAAGTATAATAAATATGAATGAATGAATGAAAACGTGTTTATTACACTTTTAAAAAAATACAAAGTAAAATATATACATACAAGCAACAACACATAAATAATAGAAAATTCTGTCTTTCAAGGTCTGTGTGTAATTAATAATAAATATTCATTATATTTATGCATCCATTCTAGCAATTTCTTCCTTAACTGTTTCATTTGTTTAAATAGAGTTTTCAAAAAACAAACATTAATATTTCATAGATTCAATAATTAAGAAATTTAATTTCAACAATAATAATAATAACAATCAAATGCAATATAACAATAAAACAAACGTTACAATAAATAAACACGATATTGTACCAATAGTTTACTAACAGACCAATTGAGATCTTTGCAATGTGGCCTGCTGTACATAATTGCTTAAGGCTTTCCAGTTAGAACCCTTTAATAAACCAAATAATTCTTCCGGAGAACAGCTTTGTTGCACAAAACATTTCTCTGTTATCTCACTGTACATGTGAGTCCAAGTCCCAAAAAGTGAATTATATGCTCTTTTTTTTTTTATAGTTACATACCGGGCAGTTATCCTTGCCTTCCACCATTCATGGTTTTACTCTTAAATCTAGCAATTCAGTCCTACATCGAAAAATTGATCCTATAGTCGCAATATCAAAACTATCATTAAGATAGGACTGAACATAGTCCTGCGTAAATAGAAAAACTCGAATGAAGACATTTTTGAAGGTTATTTTGTTTTTCTAAGTCCTCTACCCTATGTATAACAACAGTCAATTTTCTGCGCGGATCAACGATAATTGCAGAATCAAGAAAAATTTTACAACTATCCTCGAATTCTAAGCACTTTCGGTAGGATATGTGGCAAATGATAACCAGGCATCTCCAGGACTTTCAAAATATAGTCAAAATGAATTTTAAGTGTATAAACCCTCCGAGGCGTCTGAAAAGAAGATGGCCTCGAGATCTCCTTTTGTAAATACATTTTTAGAGTGCTACCAGTGGGCAGTTTCTCAACAAATGATTTCATGCTTTTATATTCTTTTGTTCACATTTACTGAATGTATTTTTACTTGTAATACAGTTGTAAATATCATCAATAAATTAAAAAAAAAAAAAAAAAGTGTATAAAAGTATATCGTGGCAAGACCGGTTTCGTACGCCAAAATACAATTAGGTGCATACCTTGGGAGACCCAGTAATTTTTTTACAAAGTATCTTTTAAATTTTTCCAAAACTTCATAAGGCTTGAAACCCCAAACCTGCCCAACATAGACAATCACCGCTCGAGAGACCGAATTACAAACCACTAGTTTACTTGAATAGGGAACATTTTTGTTAGCTATGAAATTATGCCAGATAGAATTTAGGCCAAAATTTAGCATGACTTACTCTTTCAGCAAAGTGTTGTCCCAAGACCAATCTTGGGGTAATGATAACACCCAGATATTTATACTCATTTACTACTTCAATAGGGTTTCCTCCGAGTTCCACCTCTCATATTTGGATAGTCTACCTCCATTTCGGAAAACTATTATTTTTAACTTGGCCAAATTTATATGCAAGTTCCACATTCGGCAGTAATTTTCCAAGTGGTTTATCATAGGTTGTAATTTAATTTGGGAAGGGGCTAATATTACTACGTCGTCTTCATACAATTAACTCCTAATATTTATTCCTGCGATTTCTAGCCCTTCTTCCATATGTTCGTGTAAATCGTTTATAAACAATGCAAATAGCAAAGGACTAAGCAGGCAACCCTGTCCTAATCCTACTGATGTTTCGAAAAAGTCGGTTAGTCCTTCTTTATGATATACAGTAGCCTTAGTATTTGTATGTTAGCTTCTTATGATATTAAAAAATTGATGAGACAGCCCAAGATTAGCCAACTTAAAAAACAGAGCCTCTCTATAAGTATAATTAATATACTAGAAAATTGAAGTTATAAAAGACTAAACTGTTAAACTAATTTTTATTTTCAGGTTTTGGATCCAAATAGTTCAAAATTGATGGCCTTGAAAGTTGTTAACCTGTCGTCAGTTGAAGATGCAGTTGCCAAAGGTTATCTAAATGAAATTGAAGTATTATCAAAATTACAAGGCTGTCCTAGTGTGATCAAAATGTTTGATCAGTAAGTTTTTTGTAAATTTGTTTGATTTAAATAATTATTTGTTCTGTTTTTGGTTATTATAGTTGCTTAAACAATTTATAGTTGTTTGTATTTCAGCTTGAAATTTCTGTTGTTTCTTTTGTCAGTTAAATATTTTCTCTATCTCTGTATTGGTTAAATGAGCATTTCCATTTCTTATCCTTCTTCAACAGATTTTTTAAACATTCAAATTTAAGTTTAATCTTAAATCTCGCTAAATTTATTGGTTTTAGGTGCTGTAGGCTAAAAAATTAATTTTAAAATACGTTATCTTGTTTTTCAATTTTTCCTTGTAGCCATTATATCTTATCCACTATTTTTATAGATAGGTGATAGATAAATAAAGCAGTGTGGGTTACTAGTGTTTGTTGTACCCCTTTGTCATACGTAGTACAACCAATATTGATGAAACAATAGGTTAGATATAATATTGGTAAAATCAAATTAATAATGGTAAACTATTTTAATATTCTCTCCAGCCTTAACGCACCAGCACTAAATGTGTTAAAAATATTTACTAAGAACTTTAGAATAATTATATAACTTTTAAGTTATAATAATTTATTTATTCTGGGACGAGTCCCTTTAGAATAAGACAGAAATGTGGGCTAAGGAGACTCAGAGATATATAAACAAAAATACAAAGTAATTAAATAGTCAAAATAAAAAAATATATAATTTACTTTTAACTTTAATCAGTTAATAATAAAAAATAGAGAAAACATGAAGTAAAAATAACTAAGAATGATCTAATAATTTATATACATATTTACAGTAAAATCTACTTACAATTTTATGGGACTGGATGGATAAGAAATGATTTAGCAGGCGAGATTTAAAGATGGGAAGGGTATTGGATTGATGGATGTAGGAAGGAATAGAGTTCCATAGGGATGAGGATTGGATAACTTAGGCCCTTATATATAAATCTGAAGACCGGAAATGAACAGAAGATTTGAATTGGAGGGCTTGAAGATGTATGAATTGAAGGACGGCATGGATTGGATGACTTGAAACAGGAAGGATGCTAGGAAATACTTTTGACAGTAGGAAGGATAAAGCCACTTCAACTCTGCATAAAAACGGGAAACAGAGGCATCCCTTGGGATCCCGAAGAAGAATCGTATAATGCAATTTGTTACATATAATATTTTAGTTTCGCATCAAGATCCTCAGAGACGCCCCCATATACCGTACAGCAAGAGTCAAAATGGAGAAATATTAAGAAAGTGTGACTAGGAGCCTTCAGGTTCAAGGAGAAATAGGTGACGGAAGTAATTTAGACATTTTAAGGTGGAAAAGGTATGACAGGAGATATTGGATGCATGGTTTTTCCAGGAAAGCGTTTGATCAAAAGTTATTCCAAGGTTTTTGATGGTGGGATAAAATTTGATGGGATTATCATGAGGAACAGAGTTGGAATATTAGGAACAGTTTTAAGGAGTTGATAGGAGCCTATTAAGATTGCCTTTTCCTCATTCAACTTCAACTTGTTAGCTCTTGCCCAGTCCCAAATCCTATCCCAGTCTTCTTGAAGTTTTCCTGTGTCTTATAATAGGTCAGAAGGCAGGAAGGACAGGTATAATTGGAATTTATCAGCATAGATATGGTACTGGGATTGATGGATCAGGAGGGCGAGGTCATTAGTGTAAATAGCAAACAGAATAGGAGATAAAGAGGAACCTTGAGGGACACCTCAGGAGAGGGGGAGGGTCTTAGATGGAGGTTGACCAGAGACGGCTTCCTAGATTTTCCATACAAATTTATCAATTTTTTACATTTACTAAAGTAATTAGATAGAATAAATTTCACTAAAATAACTTAATTTTTTTGTTAAAATATTTTGTAATAAAAGTAAAATCTTCTTATATTTACTCATAAATAATTTTATTTACCATTATTTAATTATAACTGTAATGAAGATGTGAAGTGCTAGTTTATTACGATTCTTTAATTCCCATCTAACTTTTATTTATTGAATCTATTAATTTTTATTACTTTTTTTCCAGTGAATATATTTCTGAAAGTAAAATACTTTATGTATTAATGGAAAAGGGAGATACTGATTTTTCAAGACTTATGAAAGATATAACCAAAACAAAGAAAATATCGATGTCTATGATAACATATTATTGGACAGAAATGTTAAATGCAGTTAAAGATATTCATGATAAAGGTACTAAATCTAATTTTTTATCTCTAAATTAGGCTTTTATTTATTTACAAACTATACTTGGTTCCATAAAATACCTTCTATTTTATTATATTTTTATACTGATTATTGATTATAAGAATACTGCTGAACTGAAAAAACGTCTGCCAAGTAAGGTCAGTATAGCTTCCTCACCGTTTCCGTTGTATATTACAAGGTATACAATTTTTCGTATGAGAATAAAATCTCTGAGAGAAGCAGAATCGGAATAACCGATTACAGTTACCCTTCAACATTCAACAACAGAGGGTCGTATTCGAATATTCCATACTTGATTATGCTTAATAAAAAAATAAATAAATTAAAAAAAATGCATACTGAACATGCATTTCAATACTGTTAGTTCAAAAGGTCTTATGTATAAATTTATTTATTGTTTTACAAGAGTGCATAAAAACTCAATATTTCTTTATGCTTTATTATAATAATTTCATATTTTATTTTCATCTGCTATTTTCCATAGCAGCAGACTACTTATATCAGTTGCAGACTACAAAATATCACCTTTAATACACATAGAATTAAAGTTGAAAATTATTACATACGAACTTATGCTTTAATAATAGTATATACATTACCGAATCAAGATTTAATTTTGGAGGAGGGGCTTCAGCACGAAAGATTTATATATATATAACGATAATTAATTTGAAAAAAACCACTGCAAATTATTTCTCTTTGGTATATTATTTCCAAACAATTATACATATAAAGTAACATTAAATTCCTAGTTATAAAGAAAAATAAATAAAAGGTGATTCTAATTATTGGACTAAATTTTTTTTTAATCATTAGTAATATGCTTAAAAAAATAGCATTACTTCAGTAACACATTCAGAAATCAAAAAAAAGATAAACCTTTTGCAATAGCACATCTAAAACAAACTAGAGACCATATCTTTGCTCCTAATAGTCCGATTTTGACGAATTTTTTTTTGTTTTTTAGGAAATTCCGTAAACTTCTAAAAAACCATACAATATTGACATAAATGTATATACTTCTTGAGTTATTCGGATTTTAATTTTACCATCCCTCGTAACTTTTTTTGAGCTTCTTTTCGTTGAAGTATGTAGTATAGATAAATTTAGAGGGCGTAGAGAGAATGACATTAGCGAAGTTTCATCAAAATCGGTACATTCGTTTAGGCGCTACAGTCTATAGCAACGCAGGTTTTTCGGCCACCATTTTGAAACTAGAAGGCGAATAGTAATGTCGTTGAAGGAGGATGATCCTTGGGTGACCTCTGATTTTATATCCAAATTCGAAAAAAATCGGTCTAGTAGTTTCAGAAAAAATGCGCGGACGGCGGACTAGTAGTGCACATATAAGAGAAAGTGTTGGACACAATTCAATGAAATTGACACTACATTATTTTTTCACCAAAGTCTACCTTTTATCTAACTTTGAGCCAAATCGAACGAGCCCTTTCTGAAATATTGGCATATCTAAAACTATACGTTTGCGCGTGCCTAAGCGGAAGTGCTGGATGGAATTTGATAAAATTGATATGGGACCATCTAGGCACCAATCAGCATAATCCCTGAAAATTTCATGAAGATTGGATGAACGGTACTAGGTGATATGCCCGTCACATCGATTTGACTACAGACAGACAGACAGACACCGAACCAAATTTGATCCTTGATGTCTGAAATGTAAAACGCGAGTGAAAATTTTCAATTCTGAGCAAAGAAATTTTTTTAATCTCTCGCACGAACACAATGCTTCCCTACCTTCGGTAGTGAGGAAGCAAAATAAAAGAAACGCTAATTGTCAACTTAATCTCTCTCTCTCTTTAGTTATAATGCAATATTATATTGCATTTTTTAATACTTCAAATTAGACTTAGGAGATGGAGCATTTTTCCATGCAAAAATTGTTATCTTTATTTATTATATTCACTTAAAATTGTGCCGAGAACCTGGCTGGCGGTCTTCCAAAGCCGCTTTGTATTTTTTATTTGTATTGAATTATTTAGAGAAATAAATAAAATCCAGAAAAGATATGTTTAGTATAATATATAATATTAACATAATTACTACTTATTTCTTCTGAACTCAAATTTAGAGTTAATCTATACTTTAAATCAAATATCAATATTATTAAAAAAATATTGATGAAATTTTATTATTATTTTAATATTTTTCCTTGTATTCTTTTGCTTTAAGCTTACAAATCAAAGCTGCAAAACCATTATTTTTATTTATTTATTTATTTTTTCTTCCTGCAACACTTAAGGAGACAGGTAGTACTTCTTTTATTTCTTTGTTATTTCAGCTTTCTCAATTTCTTCCCTCCTTCCTTTCATTCCTTTTCTCTGTTTTTAACTCTTTATTATATTATACATTGTCTGTACATCTTGATAGACTTTACAGTATCTCAATTATCTATCTAACTACTCCCTTCTCAATGTTTTAATTTTACTATTTATTTTCATTTCTTATATAACTTCATATTTCTTTTTTATGTTTTACATTTTATTCTAAGATTCCCATTGTAACACTTATGTCACCTTTTTTGATTATGCCTACTTCATCATTCTACACTTTGTAACGGTTATTATTATTTATCTCTTAGTTCTTAGTCATTATTCTAACAATTTCATTTTACTTTATATTTATTTATTTTATTTTTCTAATTTTTTTATTTTGTAATTTTTTTTTTACCATCACTACTTATCATGTTTCTCATACCTTGTTATCTGGTTATTTTCTTAGCCCTGATGAAGGCCTGAACTTCAGGTCGAAACGTCGGGATATGTAAAAAATAAATATTATCATTTATTTTTGCCTTCCTTTTTGACTGACCACCCCAACTATTCTTCACTTCATTATTTTTTTTTAGTTAAGAAAAATAAATGCTTATATGAGATTATTACTCTAATCCATCCATTTTTCACAGGTATCATACATTCTGACTTAAAACCAGCCAATTTTCTCTTAGTATCCGGTAGGCTGAAACTAATTGATTTTGGGATCGCATCTTCTTTGCAAGGGGACATGACAAGTGTACTAAAAGATGTCACCACTGGCACTTTCAATTACATGAGTCCTGAAGCTATTCGGAACTCAGGAGAAACAAGGGGCTACAAGGTAATATCTCTCCTCTTTCTGTCTCAAATTTTTAATTAGATTAATAATTAAATTACTCAATAAGTTATGCCTGTACTTAGCAATGAATTATATTTCTTCCTTGCTTGTTTTTTTTTTTTTTAACTATAGGAGAACAAATAAAATTTATGTCTTATTTAAGTTACTGCATACCTTTACTAAGAATCACATCTTACTAAAGGAAGAAACTTCAACTTTAGGAAACCAAAACAATTGTTTACTTGATGATGGTACTGCACTCAAAGAGAATTGAAGGAGGTGATGATTGAGGGTGTGGTCAGAAATATACTATGTGTGAGAAGAATAAATATATAAACTGGGATTACAAGGGAATATAAAAATGAAAAAAATAGTTAATATTCTATGACATATGATATACATTTTAATTTTGCTAGAACAGTGTGTCCCTCTTTTACTTAATTCATTCATATCCATTAATACAATAATTTTAGAGAGGGAAAAGAAAATATGTTTCATATATATATATATATACATATATATATTTTTTTATGGTTAGTTGTATGATGGCAATGTTGTGGGTTTGATTCTTACATTGAGATGGTTAATAGTGAATATTTCCCGGGTCGCCAAGAAACAATTCTTGGTGAATTGTTTGAACCATAACGTCCACTTGCTGGGCTAGTTCTGTTCTCTCTGCCAGTATCAGTATTTATAATATATATAATTTAATGCCTTTTTTTTTTTTTTGTGTGTGTTTTGGATTATTTTTCCTGTTTAGTTGACATTGAGTAACTGAGTAACTGTTCAAGTTCATTTCTTAGTAATATAATTTTATTTATGAATATATTTTTATTTCCAGTTAAATAAGTGTTATGAAAATGTTTTAAACTTTGTATGTTTTAGATTAACTACAAATCAGATATATGGTCATTAGGATGTATACTATATAATTTGCTTTATGGACGCACACCTTTTTCACATTTGACAAACACCTGGACTAAGTTGCAAGCAATAGCAGATCCGGAATCCGCTGTAAGCTTTCCTTCTGGGTCAGCTGCCCCTCCCCATCTTCTACTCTCTGTCAGGTATTATTTTTTTTTTTTAAATACATGTTATTATATGTTTGGACGGTTAATAGTTTGATAAATCAAGAAGATGGTCTGGGAATGACAAAGAAGGTGATCAGTGAGCAAGTTACTTCGTCCATTATTTTAATCAGTCTCTTCACTATTTTTCCACTTATTTATTATCTATTTCAGTTACCTATTACAGTTACTCATCACTGTTACTTTTTCAGTACCATTGTTTTTTTTACTATTATCAGGTTTCTTGTGTATGATCACTTATGTTATTATTATTATTATTCCTTTGGTGTTAACCTAATGAGTTATTTGGTCAGTACATTGGTTCGTCACTTATACTCAGTACATTTCCAGAAACATTTATATAGGTTTTGGAACTGTGCAAAAACTGTATTGCGTATGGGGCTGATAGCTTGCTAATAGTTAAAACTCGTGTTGAAACAGAACTATTCAGACAGATCTATAATAAAGTTTGATGGGTTAAAGGAAATCTTTAATTATTAAATTAGGCTGACAAAATATATATTTGAAATTTTCTTTAACGACTCATTTATTGTACCAATAAGAATATTAAAGTAAAAATAACCATGATACACTAAATCACAAAAACACATTTGTATGAATTTATTAGTCGGACTATTTCCTTTTTTGTTCATTGAAGAAATAATGTTGAATATATAATTTCACTGTTGTATTGAAACAAGTTTTTATGTTATTTTTCTTCAAAGTATTGTTAAGTATGACAAATCCATAAATGTTTAATTTTTATTTTTATTTTTTTTCAGGTGGGCATTAACTAAAGATCCTAAAGACCGACCAACTGCAGAGGAATTACTTAGATTGGCTGAATTTACACCTGGCCCTGAAACTCAGTTAGGGAGGCAAATTTCTGCTCTTCTCGGCGAATATTTATTACAGGTTAATTTTTCATCCTTCAATATTTGCCTAAAATTAACTTATATTATATAATAGGCTAATATATAATATATATATATATATATATATATATATACACTAGAACAGTAGCATCAAATTTATGGTCAAGTACATTGTAAGATAATAGAAAGAAAGTTAATATTGTAATAAATATGCTCTTCACAAACTTATGGAGAATAAAACGGTAATTGTCAAATTGAAAAAAGAACTTGATATTATGATTTTTTTAATCAAAATTAGAGATAACAAAGAAAATTGCTCAAAACATTTATCATCTTGTTGGAGACATAAATGTGAGTATTGTGCAACGTCAGTGCTTTGTCAATATGTGGTTGGAGCTATATATATAATTTTTTTTTTCTTACATGGCCATTTCTGACATGCAGTTAATAATGAATGATCTATATTTGGATTACAGTATCCACAAAATATCTTCTTTTAAAAAGATAAGTAATTCATTATTTCATTTATAATGTTATTAGTGTCCCTTATGAATGAAAAAGCAATAGCTTTGTCTATGTAAAACACGTGAATTTTACTCACCATAGCATCTTGCTGAACACGGATTTTGACTGACTCAATATTCTGATTTTGGTGTTATGTAATAAAGAATTTTTTATAATTATATATTTAAGAAGAAAAGTTAATTTTATTCTGGGACAATCATTCTTCTAATAATAATTGTAATTATCAATAAAGTGACATTTGTCTGGAATTGGGAAAAAATCAGAGATGGAAAAATAGATAGTGTTTAAATGAGGTTGAAGATGAGGATTTACATATGGAGGTAGATAGGGAATTCCAAAACCAGGTAACACATCTGACAAAGGATTTTTTAAATGAAACAGTTCTGTGAGAAGGAATAAACAGATTCATGGGCTAATCTTGTGTCGAACGAATGGACGGAGCAACCAGGAGTAAACAAATCAAGAATATTAGAAGGTTTTTTTATTGTAAAGATTCGAAAAAGGAATACATTTAGGAAATATTGCTGTTTAAAAGCTGGATAAAGCCACTCGCCATACCAGTTAGTATACAAGGCAGCCATAATGAAGCTGAAGAAAAATGAGAGAGAAAACTAAGAGCCGACATAAGGGCATAGAATCACTGAATCTCAGGGACTGTTTAAGGGTAGCCTTTGTATTGCCTCAAGCATCTCGCTAAGATGAAAGGAAAGGTAAATTTAAAAGTTGTCAGCATATAATTGGTATTAAGAATGATGAATGTGACCAGTGAGGTCATTAATGCAAAGATCCCTGAGGAATACCATGAATAAGAATTCTTACTTAATGGAGTATTTTCACAACTGTTAAGGCATGTTACAATGTATGCCTAGTTTTCTATGCATTGATAATGATTCAGATTTATTTTCCTATAGTTTTACTGTGAGTTATGTTTATTCCCTTAACAACAATCATCAACTAGTTATGATTGATTTCTATGTTTGAATTTTTGGTATCTAAATAAATATCTAGAATTTTAATTTTGATTTTAACATTAATTATCATTAGAGACCAGATTTTCGTGCAGTAAAATTTGAAAAATGTGCTGTATAAAACTCAAAATCGTGCAGTATAAACCCGAAAAGTGGAAAATTGCTAAAACCGTAGGTTTTGATTAATTTATAATATTAATTCTTATTTACTCTTGTGTTAGAATTTATAGCCTCAAAATTGAAGTTAGGTATAATGTATAGTAACGTGAGAAAAATCTAATTCTAATTTAAAATATACGATGATAAACTTGATTCCATATGAAAATATATTTTTAAATCAAAAACATATATCTTTTGTATAAACCGTGCATTATTGAATTGATTTTACAGATGTAGATCAATTTGAAATTTTAAAAAAGTGGATTTTGAGTTAAGCTCCTTAGCTTTTATTAAAATCCATAGTCCCTCACGTAACCCAATGGAGTTTAGACAAAGAACGTTCATCCAAGCAGTAATAAAACTTTTTTTTACAAATAGTTTCATACTTGTTTGTTTGAAAATTGCAAAATAATTATACACATGTTTAGAACCGCAAATAACAGAACCATAAGCATAAGTGGCTATATGCAGCTGCATTCAATTAAGTTATTGAATATGTTACCTCCTTACCCTCAATTATACTATTATTCATACAATAAAATGTGTGTACTTGAATGATAGTAATTTTGTTACCTACATCAAACAAGTTGAGTATAATATATATTTTCATCCCAGCAAGATAACTTAATTGCATTATTTTGAATAAAAAAATTAAGAACAAATAATTATGCCATCCATGTGTTGGACACCGCTGTTCTCAACTACAAATCTAATGTAATAAATAATAAAAGTAAATATATATTTTCATACATACCTATCTACATGTTATAAAGGAATTTTAGCTCAAGTATTTTACTTTATGCAATTAAAATTAAAATTTAGCTCTTGAATTGCAAAATATGCAATATCATGAAACAAGGAAAAAAAAAAAATGCAATATAGCCCGAAAAAGCATAAACATGCAAAATGAAATTTTAATATGTTATCCTACATATCGTGAAATGGATAGATTTTTGGGCTTGAAGTTTTTACACCTAAGCGAAAAAAATATGCAATAACATGAAAACCTGGTCTCTAATTATCATTAATTCATATTTAATGTTTTTCGTGTTTTTTTCTTTTCAGATGTTCCCCAATTGTCGAGTAAGATTAGAAAATCCAAAAGATAAAAAACAACAAAATAGTCTTCAGTGAAAAGTCTAGTATTATTTTTAATTGTATATATTATTGTACCATATTCGAAAAGATTTTATTATATAGTGAAATATCTTTTAAATCAACATTTGTTTTATATAAATGTCATAATTCATCTTATATAGAACTAAAATAGATTATATCTAATATAGATTTAAATAGTGATATATTTATTTAAAATAAATTGTTTTAAAACTTCTTGTCATTATTCTATGTAGTTCTTTCATCTAATTTTTGACTACATTTCAAAAGGAAACAATGGAAAAAAAATCTAAACATGGATCATACAAAAATATATTGTGTGTTTACTTTTTTGCCATATCAATCAATTATGAATTCTCTGAAAATAATCTCTTAGCTCTAACCTGAGAAATTGAAGCAAAAAACTTGCAAAAATACCCTAATCTTCCTTACTCGCTGTAGATTCACTCCCCGGTTTGTTTAAATCAGATTGAAATGGCAGTTGGCAAAGCAGCTCTGTGAGGTAATACTTTTTTTTGGTTTATTATTACTATTAATGCATCTTCGTAATTGTCTTAAAAAATTTGAGACTTAATGTTTCAGGATGTACAGAATCCAATAATTAAATAATGAAAAATCCATTCTTCTGTCTTAAGCTATCTGAGGCTTTTCTCTGGGATTACTAAGCTTTTTTCTTCTGCATTATCTTATTGCTTATCATTTGAGTGAGTTTCCTAGGGAGTCGTCCACTTATTCCTCAGTGTTCATACATGATTGGTAATTTTTTGTTTTTCAAATCTCATCTCTGCAATAATGAGATCTATATTCAAAAAACCACTGAAATTTTTTATGAATCTCTTATTTCTGTAATTTCATATCAACAAACACAATACTGATGATCAATATCAGATTTTTAGGTCTAATAATATTAGATTTTTCACATTTAAAGTAGTGTTCTTTAAAAGAAGAAAACACTCCACTGGCTTTAGCATCAGTGACGCGGTTGAGAGAGTAGCGCAGGGATCTCTTAGAGTCCTGCTTTTCCTTCTATAGTTGGAGGGAGTAGCCTGGCTTTGGGTTCCCTGCCTGATTGTATATAGGTATGACTGTGTTTTTATGTTTTTAATTTACTTATCTTTAGTTTAGTTAATTTTTTTTATTGTACATAGTTCTTTTTTATTATTATTTCACTTTTGTTAATTTTGTATTTTCTGTATATATGGTGTGAATGTGTTCATTTATCACTATAATTATTGTCCACGAGACAGAATATTATATATCTAAATAAATAAATAAAAAAGAAGAAAACAAAAGAAAATTTTAATCTGGGGACCTAGTCTTATAGAATATTATAAGATTTGGTGCCTGTACATTTGTCTAACTTTTAACTGTAATGATTATAAAATACAAGACAAGCATAAGTAAGTTGTGCAAGGATAGAGCTTTGATCATGCTCAACCACCAAGTTTTCCCCCTCAATTAATTAATTATACAATTGTACAATAGAGTACTCATTTTATACAAAATTGGTGGTATCGGCATCAATCCTTTATCTTCGTTAAGCCTTCTATTATTATCCTCTTCAAATAATACATTTCCTGATCTAACAGCAGAATTTTTTTTTTTTTCTAGTAGTGGATAGACCAATAAAATTCATATGTACTTGATTATCTGTTTACCAATACCCTCCTAATTTGAGCCAAATCGAACGTGCCGTTTTAGAGATACAGACATATCATGAAAAACACGTTTGCTCATATATAAGAAAAAGTAGTGGACAGAATTCAATAAAATTGATGCTACATTAATGTTTCACCATTTAATCTACATTTTATCCAACTTTGAGCGAAATTGAACCAGCCGTTTCTGAAATATTGGCATATCTACAAAAATGCGAAAGTGCTGGATGGAATTCGATAAAATTCATAAGGGACCATCTAGATACCAACCCGCACAATCCCTAAAAATTTCATGAAAATTAGGTAAACGGTAGTAGGTGATATGCCTATTGCATTGATTTGACTACAGAAAGACACTGAACCAAATTTGACCCTTGTCTGAAACATAAAACATGAGTGGAAATTTTCGATTCTGGGCACAAAATTTTTTTATAACCTCTCGCAAGAATACAATACTTTCCTACCTTTGATATTGAGGAAGGGAAATAATATGAAAAGAAAAAGAAAATTGTTCTTACGCACATGTGAAAGAATGGTAGCTTAAAGGATGGAGAAATAATTTTGATGTTTAAGTAAAGCTATAAACAGAGTTTTATGAATGAAGATGAGTAAAGAATTTTAAAACAAGAATGTTTGATGGGTCCTAATCCATTAGTTTGCCTTTTTTTTTTTTTTTTTCAATAATCCATAGATAATGGAATAATGAAAACATTTTTAAAAATCATGGGATCTTCAGGAAAAAATGCTTAAAATTAAAAGAAAAGAAAATTTTTCTCTTTATTACAGTTAAAAAATAAAATAATATAAGGAATTTTCCAAGAAATTTCTATCTACTTAAAATAAAATTGGGAATAAATTGATTTCTTTTTTAATTTATATATTTTTTCTGGAATAAAAAATTATATAATGTATTGTTTTAAAATAACCATGAGGCAACTCATAGAGGCAAATAAGTTTATGTATTTTGAGGTTAGCACTCAAGTTATTGAACTTTTGTATTGTCTTATGGAACCTTAATATCAGTATAGAATATTATCTGAAGAAAATGAAACCCAATACAAACTTTTATCTAAAATTATGCTTTATTAATTAATTGCATGAAAGATAAACTATCTAGAAGTAATTTGTCTTTTCATTTAAGGAAAATATACTGGAGTTTCTTTCTCTTGCTTAATCATTCCTTTAGATGGCTATAAAGAGAGTTAAAAGGCCAGCAACTGCTAGAGTTATGTAGCCTCCAAGATAAACTTCTTTTAATGTTAGTGCTTTTCCCAAATCCCAAACCTAGAATAGATTACATCAGTCAATTAAATTTTTTTCAGTAACTAAAATTAAACAGTTCAAAAGGAATTAAAAGGTTATAGATAACTATTTAATGATTATATAGATATTTTGGTAAATAAGTTTAAAGCAGGTCAAAAAGATGATGGGCTCAGAGATATTCACATTTAGAATATTAAAAATTATTGGTCAGCAAACTCATTACTCAAAAGAGCCAAATATCGAGGCTGCAAGGATTGAAATAACTTTGGTGTACCATTTTTTATTTAAGATGTCTATATCAGAATTATTTTCTAGACGATTCAAATTTTATCTTTCAAAACCCTGGATAATTTTCTTCTTAACCGCTTCTGCAGTGTGATGATTCTTTCTGTAGAGCTTTTGATCCAGTCTGCTTGGTCCTGTGCCAACTCATTTCTTCAATCCAGATTCCTGGTAACAAATGTCTCCCTAACAGTTATTTCACAGATAAGCCTAGTTATTATCTCACCTGGCATGCGTGAGACATGTTCAAACCATAGCAGACGATTCTCCTCCAGAGTTTCAAGTAATGATTTATGTGAAGATCGTTTCTCATCGTGTTGTTTCACACTCTATCTCAGTGAGATTTTCTGGAGGAATCTCATTTCCATGCCTTGGAGTTGACTTATATGCTTGCTGATTAGGTTCCCTGACTCACTGTAATAAGTTAGGATGGGCAGAAAAGTTGTCTTATATATTATATTACCTTCTTTTTATCTTTCGGGACTTCAGGCCTTGAAGAAGAGGCTTTATGATAAAGGAATTTCTTAGGGCATTAAATAACCTCTCTACTGCAGCTATTCTCTCCTTTATTTCACAGTCTATGATTGCCTCATGTGTATCTATTAGAATTTTTCCACTGGCTCCAGGGACTTGGGGTTTCCCATTCTCATCATCTTTGACTTTTCATGACTTATATTCAACGTAATATGGTTGAAATCTTCCTGTAAAATCCTAAGGTTACACTGAAAGTCTTTTCCATTCCTTCCAAATACTACTATGTCACCCTTTGAAAGGTGACGTGGCATTTAAATGGCAAATACATTTAAATGGACTGCTTGCATGATTCTATATCCTATTTGGAAATTCTTCATCTTGTTCTTGTCATTCTTCAAGGTCGTATCTGACACCAAAATGAACAGGAGTGGGTTAAATCTTTATCCTTGTCAGATATCGGTCGAAGATCTAAACTCCTTGGAGCTGTGATAGCAGGTTATAGCGAAATTTCTCCATTTAGCAAAGAGACTTAATATCACTTTCTTGAGTCCAAATGCCACCCATTAATGTCTTTTCAATATCCTGAACCTTAACCCGTAGAAAGCTTTGATCAGATCAACAAAGCAAATGTAGGCTTCTTTGTCCTTATCTATGAGCTTCTTTGATGCCTGTCTGATTGGAAATATCCTCCTATTTTCCCAAAACCCATATTATTTTTCTATTATTGGTTCCACAATATTTTGTAATCTTTATGTAGACTTTTCTAGGGATGCTCAAAAGTGAGATTTCTCTTTTGCATTCCCTATTGTCTCCTTTTTTAAGTAAAGGAACAATTACGGAGACTTTCTAGTCTTCTGGGATCTTTGTCTTCCATGCCAGATAAGTTTAAAGTCAATTGTAGAGTTATTTGGCTTGAGTGACCATTGATTTCACCATTTTCCTCGGGCTCTTGTAGATCTGGTAATTTACCTGTGGTCTACTGCTAGATATTTCTTCCAGAGCTCTTACTTTTTTAACCTGGTCATCCCACCTTGGTGTTCTTTTATTTTGCTCCTTTAACCTGCTCTTGCCACAAATATTTCTTGCCTAATGCTTCTTCCCACAATTTCGAATCATTGCCTACCCGGCATAGGAGATGATTATTGCGATGAATCAGCTGCTATTTAGTTCTTCTTGTAACTTTCAGAGTTGTTCTTTATCAACAATACTGGCGTCACTGTTTGCACCATAAACAATGAAGGTAGTATATTGCCACTATTAGTACAAAAGCTCTAAGTCAAAATTGAGTTTTTTTACAGGAGCTCATAATAACTGATTATTTATTTATGATTTATTAGTGTAATTACATATTTTATTTTCCATAGGAGCAGACTTCATTCAGCAATTTCTGACTACAATATGTAGCTTTTAGCACAAATAAATTAAGAATGAAAATAGTCACATATGACCTTTTGCACTAACAGTAGCGATATATTTCGTGCTCTAAAGATAGCTCTACTGTCATTAATCTGCTGTTATCTGCCTTTCAATTCTTGATATTTGGGATAAGATTCTTATGAAGAAACACCAGACTCTGGCGGAAGAAACACCAGACTCCATTTTTGCCCATTTTGTTGGCCAATTCCATTGCAGTACATAATCACCAATATTTGCCTCCACCTAATTTCTTTCTCCTGATAATTTAACTTTTAAAAAATAACAAACTTAAACATTGTATCTTCTTTTTGCTGTAGCTTAGAATTAAGACCATTAAAATGAGACCTCTACCATAAAACAGAGTTATTATATCTACCACTAGAGTATCCAGGAATTATTTGTTTTTTTTAATAATGGTAATTACTTTGGAAGAAAAAAACACCTATGTAAAATATTGTTTATAAATGGTCCTATAAGGCCAGATTAAAAAAAAAAGAAAAGAAGATCATTACAAGAAGAGCAATGCTTTTGGGATAAATTCATATATATATTTTCTTGACAGGTGCTTACATTAAGTTGATGTGTATAAATTTTAATTTAAATAATTGTGATATTTAAATAATTTAGCTTACATAACTCACAAAAACAAATATGTACCACTGAAAAAATATATTATTTTCCATTTTCTGAGGAGAGGGCTTCAGCCCAAAAGTCCCCTTCCATTCCTCCCCCCCCCCTCCCGTTCCCGCAGATTCGCTCGCGGTGTCCACTGATCTTTAGTTCTGGATATTGAAAACATTTATGAAGGAGAAATCCTTTAATTTCAATTATCAAGGAAGTGAAACATTTCCAACTAACGGACCTATTTCAGAACAGGATATCTACATAATAAATAAAAATAAAACTATTAGTGAGTAATCGTAATTACACACTTAGAAATTCTTACAAGCTTGTGAAAGTTTGAATATGTGGTAGGTGGTAAAATAGGAGTTGTTTGAAGGAATTTGCAAACGTTGTTTCAGGTATGAAGAAAGGTAAGGAGTTCCAAAAAGAGGTAGCACGAATGGCGAAGGATACGCTGAAGGAAGTGGTTTTATGAGAAGATATTTAGATTTATAGGTTGAGACAGATCTCTACTAATACCAGAGTATTAAGGGATTGGATGGAGGAACGTAGTGTAAGGAGTTCTAGGATGAAGGGAGGACTTGGAAAAAGAAAACACTTAAGAAGGAATTGCTGTCGGGAAGTAGGATAGAGTCACTTCAACTCGGTGAATAAACAAGAAACATGGGAATTCCAAAGATGAATCTTATGAAGCAATTCATGAGTCTCTTCAGTCTTGTGATACACTAAGCAACCATAGTTAAAGTGGGTGAATACAAGGGGCTGTCTGGTTTTCTTAGGAATAGAATCACAGAATCGTAGGAATCGTTTGAGCATAGTTTTGGATTTTTGAGTAATCTGGAAAATGTAATTATTCCAGGTAAGTTCCTGATCAAAGATTACACCGAGGTTTTTGACTGTCGGAAATAAATGGCTGGGGCGGCTATTAATGCAGTAGTAGGTGTTTGACCTTTAACTGGTAATAGGCTTAAAACTTCTTGAGGAGAGGTAGTGAAATTTGTGCTTTATCATTTATGTCACATGATTCGTCAACTGCTATTGAAAAAGGAGAAACCATTTGAATGATTGGTATTACTTGAAGACATTTTGATTGTTTTATCTTTCACTGTTTTAGCTGATAATGGTAACTCTTAAATTCCAAAATGAATAAGGTATTATTCATTATTTGTTTTGTTCTTTCATTCCAAACATTTTATTTATTTTATTAAAATTGTTCAATAGATGAAACGATTTTTCCTAGTTATAAGTAGTAAAAGAGATGAGAGTTGGAGCGCTCTCTGGAAGATCCACATCTAAGGGGCCAAAGAGCCAAGTGTTTGCCCCCAGATTTGTCGACCAATGGTCTAGATCGCATTATCTGTCAACTAAATCTATTGTATTCGACACTTTATATTTTAAAACAAAATCCGAATAATTATGATTGTATGACAATTGCTTACCAAATGCCTTACTCCATTACATAAATGGTATACTGCAGGGAAACCAAATATCAATTTAAAGAAGAAAAAAATAAACGATGGTATTCCATAGCTTCCAATTTTGCAAGCGAATTCTGCCATGTCACTGATATAAAATGAAGCTGGAAAATAAAAAATATTGAATAATTTAATATTGTTTCATAGAATAGGTTTTTATTTTATTGCAGCTAACTGTAGTATTTGGTTATATTATTTATGAGTTCTGATATATGGCTGAAAGACTTAGAGACTAACCAGCACCCTAGATTATTGAAAAATTTAAGAGAAAAATCCTCCACACAGTAACTAGAATGGTCTGGGATCAGAGTCCCTGACATGGAGGAGAGGGCCAATAAAGAACTGTTTGCAGATACTGCTCTATCAGTACCTAATGATATGAAGGTTAAGATGAGAGGGACATGTAGTTCCTGGCAATCTATCCACGATACAACAATGAATGCCTCAATAGTAGGTAATAGTCCTCGTGGAAGGCAAAAACCAGCTGGTTAGATCATATAAACGCACAGATGCTGTAGAGCTGCATGCAGACAAGTGGAAAGAAATAACACAAGATAATCCAACAGATAAAAGTACATGAGTGACACCAGAGATGGACATTTGTCATTTCTATAAAGTTGGAGAAAAAGGTAATTTTCTGTTACATAAATTCAATTTAAACCAAATCTAATGATTTTTTTTTTTTTTTTAGTGATGCAACCTTCTTGAATAAAATCATCTGAAACAGTTTGAGTTGAATCTATAGAACAAAAATTGAGTTTTCTGCACTTTCTGAAAATCACAGCTATCCTCTTAGGTATAAATAAGGCCATTCATAGTCCATTCAACGAAAATGGCCATGACCATCAACTCTGAATGAATATTTTTTGAAGATTTTCATTACTAGAACAGTCAATGTTAGTCAACTAACAGAAAAATACAATTTAATTGCAAAGTTTAGTTTCTTTAATTCAATTTCAATATCCTCATAGTCTCAGGACCATATATGAAAAATTCAGACACCCAGAAAAATATTTATTTGTTTTTTTAGTTTTCTTTCCAATCACATGTGATAGGACTGTTTCCCAGAAAAACTGGTGTGGTGCGTGCATCACACAATTTTCTTTCAAGAGAACTGAAAGTAATAATTATAGACGGTGTAGCATATTCATTAAATATATATATATATATATGTTTTCCACATATCCGATTTGTTAAATATCTGCGTTTTTCGCCACTGTTCATTTCTTTTGACGTCTGTAAATTTTAATTATAAGGGTGCCACGCATTTTTTTTAGTTCGGCAAAAGAATCACGAAAATATTTTAGGCTAATAAAGGTGCCGTTGTAAAAAAAAGTTTGAGAACCACTGGTCTGTAATATAGCAAATAGAAGGGAAACCGTCTTTGCTTTGGGTGTATTTTTATTAGGTAACAATTCCATAGCTATAAGTATTTATATCTATATATATATATTTTTTTTTACACTTTCATTTATTAATCCGCGCCTGTCATTTACAACCATCGACAATCAGCAGATGCTCGATAGGAATGAGGAAAAGCAATACTCAGAGGCATTCCTTCCGTAGTTTTTACTGATTACATAATGACGTAAGGAGGTCCCTCATCCAGACCCTTTTCAATCGGCTTCTGGAGTTCTCCGGTATAATAGTCGTGGCCATTTCTTTGATTAGCTAGTTGGAGTGTCTATGTGATTTATTATGAAATCGTTTGTAGTAAGTTAGTATGTGTTCATTGGTCGTTGGCATGTGTAAGTGAGAGTGTAAAGTATTGTTATTCACGTACTAGGAGATCTTTCAGCGTCTGGCAGCCTCTGTAGTAAGCCAGTTGCTGACCACTACCATTTGCGCACTTGGCGGATTTTCTAGTTTTTAAACTGCTTTCGCAGTTCTGCGCATGCGTTAACCTTACACATATACTCTTTATTTCGTCTCTTATTAAGTGACTTTATTAACAGTGAAATAATTCATGTTATGTGTGAAAAAGTAGTGTAAACTGTTAAGTTAACAATTAAGTTGAAACTGGACATAAACAAGGTGAGTAATCACTTATTTATAACGGCATTGTGAACAATGTAAATAGACCTGAGGATAGTGATAGATAACAAGCCGGCCATATACATTCGTTAATCCGACCAGTGGGCTGCTGCCCTTTGGCGGAAGCAGATCTACGTTACTTAGACTTCCACAAACTCGCGTAATATATACGTAATTGATAAAGGACATTTTTTTTTTCCAAATTATTACAGTTACCTCTAATTAAATTAATATGAGATGCGCTATTTTCATATGGTAATGTCGAGCAAAGGTAACAATCGAACTTTAAGATCTAGGAGTCTCGATACCACAAAGAGTTCACCCATCAAAAAAAGGGCTAGACGCTCTAAAAAAAATACCCCGCCAGCTACACCAGAGAGCTCAGTTGACGAAGTTGAAAATCAACCTGGCACATCATCACAAAATATGTCAACACAAGCTATACCAATACAAGGTACGCTAGAAGAATCGCCTTTTTTTACAGCTAATCCATTCCAAGTGCTGTCAAACACACAGAATGAACAAATGGAAGCAGTATCCATCCCTAGTGAACCTAAACCTCCACCAATATTCGTTAGAAATATAAAAAATTTCCAATTAATGTGTCAACAATTAAATAATACAGTGGGCTCAGGTAAATACGTATGCCAAAGCCGCACTAATGACACGAAATTAATGCCTGACACCCCAGATACGTACAGAAAAATTGTCAAGTATTTATCTGACACTAAGGCGGATTATCACACATATCAACTGCGCCAAGAGAGAGCGCTCAGGGTGGTGATCAGGAGATTACACCCATCAACACCGCTGGATGCCATTAAAGAAGAACTAACTGAGATGGGGTTCCGTGTTCGACAAATAGTGAATATATTCAAGGAAGATAGAGAACAGCCTGGTACAAAAAATAAAATACCGCTCCCACTATTCTTCGTTGACCTTGACCGAACGCCCCAGGTCGAAGAAATCTACAAGGTCACACGCCTTTATTACACTAGCGTTGTTGTAGAAAAGCCCTACACTAAGCGCGACATTGTACAATGCCATAACTGCCAGGCTTATGGTCATACGAAACGCTATTGCCACCACATTCCTAGATGTGTCAGGTGCGGTGATCAACATAAAACTGAGGACTGCCAGAAGTCCAGAAGAACACCAGCAGTATGCGCTTTATGCCACCAAGGGCACCCAGCGAACTACAAGGGTTGCCAAACATATAAGGAACTGAAAGCAAGAATTTATGCAGCTCCAAGAGAAGAACGGCCATCCAGGCCACCAAGACAACCCTCTAGAACTGTAAATACAAGAGTGTCCTATGCTCAGATGTTCAAAGGAGACACTGCACCCACACAAACTCAGGCCCTGCCACAAGAACCTCAACCTCGAGTATTCACATCTCAACCACAAGACCCTTATCCCATCTCTGAACCTAGGCCTAATAACCAGACATTCATTCCTCCTCCTCCCAATGCCACTGACCTCACAAGCCTATTGACTTCTTTCCTCTCTGAATTCAGGTCACTCATCACTCCTCTCATTTCCTTGCTTACCAATGTTGTATCCAACCTCATCCCACTGTCGAGAAATCCTTAAATGCCCCCAATCAAATCCCTCTCCGTTCTCCTTTGGAATGCGAATGGTATTCGAAATCACGTCAACGAACTAACAATCTTATTACAGGACAAAAACATTGATATAGCATTAATAACTGAAACTCGACTTACCAACAAACGACCACTTAACATCCCCAACTATCATATCTATCGAACCGACCATCCTGATGGAACAGCACATGCTGGCACTGCCATAATTATCCATCAATCCCTTTCCCATCATCTATTCCCTTTGCTAACCCATAATTTCCTACAATCCACTGCCGTGATAATCCAAACTTCCCTTTACCCAATAGCAGTAGTCGCAGCATACTCCCCGCCTAAAATACCCATCTCAGAATCCCAATTAACTTCCTTCCTTAACTCCTTAGGACACCACTTCCTTCTAGGTGCAGACTTAAATGCTAAACACCAGCAATGGGGAGCCAGAACCACAAATTCCCGAGGGCGAACATTGCTATCTGCACTTAATTCCCATCACAGCAACATCCTCTCACCCAATTCTCCCACATACTGGCCAACAGATCCTAACCGCAATCCCGATCTCCTAGATTTTTTCATCCACAAAGGTCTAGGGTCCCTTCATTATTGCATCTCAAGACTTGATGATCTTTCCTCAGACCATAGTCCCCTAATCCTAACGGGCTCCACATCACCAATTCCCAAACCACCTCCACCTTCATTTATCAGGGGGCCAGTTAATTGGAACCTCTTCCGTCAAATATTGGATGATAATATTGACCTCAGAGTTTCCTTAAAAACACCCGCAGACCTAGATGAAGCAGTATATTCCATGACTACCTTGATCCAACAAGCAGTTTGGACTGCATCTTCACCTTATCCTTCTAAAAAATACCGCAAAATAAATCCTCTACCCCAAGACCTACTGGACCTTATTAATAGAAAACGATGCTCTAGGACCATCTGGCAAAGAACCAGGCATCCTGATGATCGGAAATCATATAACTATTATTCCAAGCAGGTAAAACAAAAACTGGCTACGTTTAGATCCCAATCCTATAATTCCTATCTTTCCTCACTATCTGCAAGTGATAACTCCCTCTGGAATGTAACTAAAAAAATCCTTAAATTCCAATCCATTTCCCACCCCCTCCGCCGTGATGATGGTTCCTGGGCTTCGTCAGATGAGAATAGAGCAGAAGAGTTTGCTAAACATCTATCGTACACATTCACTCCTCATCCTGAACTCCATCCCTCCCATACTGCTGAAGTTAAAGAATTCCTCTCTTCACCGATTCCTCTCTCCTTACCTCCTAAAGCCGTCAACCCCTCTGAGGTCAAATTCCTTTTAAAGAACCTAAAACCTCGCAAATCTCCAGGACACGATCTCCTTACTTCCCAGATCCTCAGACAACTTCCCAAAAAAGCAATTATATTCCTTACATACCTATTCAACTGTATCCTCCGCACAACCCACTTTCCTCTGGTGTGGAAACACTCCATAATTATCCTCTTTCCTAAACCAGGTAAACCTGTTAATTGTACATCATCCTATAGACCGATAAGCTTACTTCCGATCCTTTCCAAAATCTTTGAGAAAATCCTTCTCAAACGCATCCTACCCATACTGGAATCCCACAATATCCCTTCCCATCAGTTTGGATTCCGCTCAAGACACTCCACTGTCCAACAAGGCCTTCGCGTTGTGGACCACATATCCTCTGCACTTGAAAACAAGCAATATTGCACTGGTGCCTTTCTGGACGTAGCTCAAGCTTTCGACCGGGTGTGGCACGATGGCTTGCTTTTCAAGCTCAAAACCCATTTACCTCAACCCTTGTATCTAGTCCTCAAATCCTACCTTTCAAATCGCTCCTTTCAAGTCCGCTGCGGCACTGAACTCTCCAAACATTATCCAATTGAGGCTGGTGTCCCACAAGGCAGTGTCTTGGGCCCAGTTCTCTACATCCTTTTTACCGCTGACATCCCTTCAAGTCCTGATACCTTCCTAGCAACATTTGCTGATGATACTGCCATCCTATCCTCCCACTCGGATCCTCTAATTGCGTCCCGGAACCTGCAAAGACACCTCTCCTTCATTGAGCAGTGGTGCAACAACTGGCGCATCAAAATTAATGAATCAAAATGTAAACATGTAACTTTCACTCTTCGACGCAGATCCTGTCCTCCAATCCTTTTTAATTCAATTCCTCTTCCCTACTCAGACACAGTCCGATACCTTGGCTTCCTTCTGGACAAAAGACTGACTTGGAACCCACATACGAGACTTAAAAGACAAGAGCTTAACCGACGATTTGGTCAGCTATATAGACTACTAAACAGAACATCTCATCTCTCAACAGAAAACAAATTATTAATCTACAAGACCATACTGAAACCTATCTGGACCTACGGACTTGAGCTGTGGGGGACAACTAAATCATCGAATATCAAACGCATCCAATCCTTCCAGTCTAAAGTCCTTCGAACAATAGTCAATGCTCCATATTATGTCACGAACAAGACCCTACACCATGACCTTAACATCCCATATGTCCATGACATCATCCCATCCAGATTCTCCAACTTTCACCAGAACCTCATACATCATCCCAATCCTCTAGCCCAATCCCTATCCAGCTCCGAGCATCCATACCATCCCCCTCGAAGGTTGAAACGGCAGTGGCCTCGAGATCTTTTGTAAATATGCCTTTGGAGTCCTGGCAATGGCCAGCTTCTCCACTCATGTCCTGAGCGTCTGTGGCTCTAGTGCCCTCTTCCAGTCTCCACTGGCTTCTAATACTAGTGATGCGGCTGGAAAAGTGGCGCTGGGATCTTCCGGAGTCTTGCTTTGCCTTCCACGTGTGGGGGAAAAAGCCTGGTTCGGAGATTCTTGGGCGAATGTATATATTGTATATAGTTATGATTGTGTTTAGAAGTTTTTATTTTATTTTATTTGTTTATTATTATTATTTTTTCTTTTCTTTTTATTTATCTTCTTCATCAGTATTATTTATTTACTTCTTATATTTATATTTATTTCTTTATTATTTGTATATATTGTATGAATGAGAACTTTTAGCCCTAATGCTTATAGCCCTCCAGCAGTGGCTGCATGTATTATTATTCAATAAATAGATTAAAAAAAAAAAAAATAAATAAACTGCTTTCGTGGTATTCGCCGTACTTCACACATCGAGGTCGAAGATTGCAATATGTTTTAGTGTGTCCATATTGCTGAAACCGAACACACTGAGAAATACTTCGCTTTTAACGCGGTTCTTCGGTTTTAATGTGAGAGTATTATAAAAATTCCATTTTAAAATATCTTTTGTAATGTTTAGGAGGGTTGTTTTTTTTTAATCGAGATATTACATTTACTACATTTGTTATTTCATAGCCCATATATTTAAATTCTCTGATTATTTCTACTGGTGTTCCATATTTAACAACAACTCTTGGACACCTGTCCTGAGGGAGATGGTGGTGTGAAAGTCCGCACCTATTTCGTAGGCTTGAATTCAATTTGCGATATATATCAGGTGTTTGTGGGTAAACAGTGGCCCCTTTTATTGTAGATTTCGTCTTGAATGTGTTAGAACTAGTTTCATTTTCTAAGAATGAAATTAAAGCATGATAATTCTCAAAACTGTTTAAAAATTGGTGGAGTTTTATCATTTTGAGACGGTTGTCTTATTTCTTCTGTTTGCGAGATAATGTTGGTAAGAACCTGTTGGTCGTTTTTTTGCTCTTGACTCGCTCGAATCTGACATAGGTCTTTTACGATCCATAACCAGCTCCCAGAAGCCAAGGTCATTGTTTGCATCACTAGTTGTTAACTCCATATTATTTGCATCACTAGTTGTTAAGGCCATATTGCTTACCTCCTCGTGTTGTGGCGGTTTCACCATTGTTGGCGGTGAAATCCGCTCAATCTTTGTTTTGTTTTTTGTCTTCAGCTCTGTTGTATTCAAAAGACATTTTTGCTGCACCAATTAATCGAGTATTTATACTAAAGTAACACTTTTTAGGAGAGGCAAAAGTAAATTAACCTTTATCGTTATTTAACATCAACAGCTGTCTGAACAAAATTTACTTTTTACATTATTACAATTTATTTGATCAATACCGAATCTAACATTTATAAAAACAGCACATATACCATCGGCGCCCGCAAGTTCCTCGCATATGGTGTAGCATGTTAAGCACATTAGGAAGTAATCGCAAAATTCCGACCAGCCTTGCTCGAATTACTCATCATCGGTCTTCTATATATGACATATAAATCGGCCTATAAAATATGATAATAGGCTTTGATGATGTAGTAATTATTCTCATTTTTGGTTATTTGATCACCCTGCATTGCAGTCTCCATTATAAAATATGGATCCTAACGAGTGCTTAAATTAAAGAAAGTATTTATTAGTTGAACACATATAGAAGTATCAACATTTCATATATTTACTTGTTGCTAAAAGAAAGGCATATCCAGATAATATCATTCCAGCAAATCTATGTGATATAGACATCATAGAAGTAAGTTGTGGAGCATAGACTGTTAAATATGGAGCAATAGGTCTCCCAGCTATCATATTCCGTTCTTCGTAGGTATATTCTTCTGGCGGTTCAGCTTTCTTAATCTTCATATTAACAACTCTAATTCTGAAATAAGTGTAAAATGTGAATGATTATTATATAGAAGTAATAATCATACTTAATTTAATAAAACCTTAATACTTATTTTTAAAAATTAGTTGACTAAATTAGTAAAAATAAAACAAGTAAATCAAGTAGGTACTTACTGAGTAGACCATAATTTTGATAGAGAATGAGACCTCATGTCCATCGCGAATCTCCCCAAAACACAGGTGCTTTACATAAAAAATATTGGCATCCATTAGTTCAGATTAATAATAAGTTAGATGTGAGGATGTATAAACCGTTCGGAACATGACATAAAAAAACTACATTTTTATTCTATTCATTCATTATAAATAGATTTGGTGTGACGGTTTCATTTATATAAATTAAGGCCGTTATTCCACCAACATTTTATTTATTTTTCATTTTATCTAGACAACGTTTCGGCCAGGAACTTGTTCCTCTAACTAGGAGTTCCTGACTCAGAGAAAACCCTTAAATATTAGGACAATTTTAATTTGTTCTCAGTAAAATAAAAATGACATCCAATATGGAGATTTAGTAGAGAAGTCAAACTTGAAAGTGGTCCTAGTGTTGGCCGAAACGTTATCTAGATAAAATGAAAAATAAAAAAAATGTCGGTGGATTAACGGTCTTAATTTATATAAATTAAAAAATAACTACATTATTGTATTGAAGTATTTACTGTAACATAATAATCTAATGGTTCCATTCACCAGCGGATCCAGGATTTAATTTTGGGGGGGGCTTCAGCCCGAAACCTTTTTTTTTCATAAAAATAACGATAATTACTTTGGAAAAGCAGAAAGAAACTAACTATATAAGAAACATCGTTATATTTTTCTATTTTGGGGGGCTTCAGCCCGAAAGCTCCCCCCCCCCCCGTAGATCCGCCCGTGGTTCTATTCGCAACCATCATTAATCCAGTGAGAATAGGTTAGAGAAGGTTTTCTTGCTATAATTGATTTATGAAACATGGATTCGACCACAGACGGATCTATGGGAGTAGGACTTTTGGGCTTAAGCCTCCCCTCTCTCCTCCCCCCCGAAAAAAATTCCTGGATCCGCTAATGGATTCGAAATATTTTTGGTCTTTACATCTTTGACTTTACTACCCTAATGCCCTGATATTCTTGATTTTTTCATCCACAGTGGTTTAGGTCCCCTCAATCATTCTCTTACCCGTCTTGACGAACTTTTCTCAGATCATAGTCCATAAATACTTCAATTATCAATAACTCCTATTCCTAAACCCCCTCCACCGTCCTTCATCAGAGACCCAGTTAACTGGAAACTCTTTCATCAAATCCTTTCCGATAAAATTGACCTTAGAATAACCCTGAAAACTCCAGAAGACCTCGATAATGCCGTACATTCCTTTACCACCACTATTCAGCAAGCAATCTGGACTGCTCTTATAATCTCTCCTGGACCCAAATCTCTCCTCAAAAATTCCTAAGAAAAATAATTTACCTCAATACCTGCTAGACCTAATTCACATCAAACGCCGTGCCAGAATATCATGGCAACGTTCAAGACACCCCACTGATCGCCTCTCTTATAATTATTACAGTAAGCGATAAAAACAGGAATTGGCTACCTTTAAATCCCAATCCTTTAACTCCCACCTACTTCCCCCTCTGTTCATGACAATTCTCTATGGAAGATGCCAACAAAATTCTAAAATCCCATCCCCTACGTCGATGCGATGGCTCCTGGGCAGCGTCTGATGAAGCTGAAGAATTCATCAGATGCCTCTCCAGAACATTCACATCACATCCGGAATCCAAACCCACCCATACCACAACAGTAGAAGAATTCCTTACATCGCCCATTCTACTTTTCTTACCCCCTGAAGCAGTTAATCCTTCTGAGGTTAAACATCACTTCAAACTTCCTCTCCGTAAATTTCCTGGATAAGACCTCCTTACCTCTCAAATCCTTCGACAACTTCCTCCTAAAATTCTAATTCTTCCTCCTAAAAAAGTTATATTTCTCATTTACTTAAATAATACCGTCCTAAGAACTACCCATTTTCCTCTTTTGTGGAAACAGTCCCCTATTATCCTGTTTCAGAAACCAGGCAAAACTCCCAACATCTCGACGTCCTACAGACCTATTAGCCTTCTTCCAATTCTCTCAAAAATCTTTGAAAAGATCCTCCTGAAACGAATCCTTCCCCTTATAGAATCCCAAAATCTTCCTTCTCATCAGTTCGTATTTCGTTCACAACACTTCACAGTCCAACAAGGACTCCGAGTGATTGATCATATTTCCGCAGCACTGGAAAGCAAGCAATATTGCTCGGGTGCATTTCTGGACATGGAACAAGCTTTTGACCAAGTATGGCACGTCGGGCTTCTTTCCAAGCTGAAAAGCCATCTACCCCAGTCCTTGTACCTAATCCTTGTTACAGAATTTTCCAATTCCTACTCAGTTGAAGCTGGTGTTCCTCAAGGTAGCGTCATGGCCCCGTCCTTTATATCCTTTTTTCTGATATCTCTGTTCATTCCGATATCTTCCTGGCAACATTTGCTGATGACACCGCCATCCTATCACCCAACTCAGATCCCGAAAAAGCATCTTTAAATCTGCAAAGACACCTATCCCTGATCGAGGACCTGGTTTAATAAATGGTGCATCAAAGTAAACGAATCCAAATGCAAATACATTACCTTCACACTCCGGCGCAGATCCTGTCCATCAGTCCACTTTAATTCCATCCAGCTTCCTTTTTCAGACACAGTTTGGTATCTTGGCTTTCTCTTTGACCAAAGACTAACGTGGAACCCATATACTAGACTTACCGACTTCTACTAGACTTAACCGACGATACGGCCAATTATACAGACTACTGATTAGAAAATCTCAACTTGCAATTGACAGCAAATTACTGATCTACAAGACAATCCTGAAACCTATTTGGACCTACAGACTTGAACTTTGGAGGACAGCAAAATTTTCCAACATCAAACGCATCCAATTCTTTCAGTCCAAAGTCCTCCGAACAATAGTTGAACAAGACAATTCTAAAACACCAACTCAAGCGTGCCCAATAGGTTTCATGGCACAAGTTGCGCCACAAAATTTTTAAGGTTGGCACATTTTTATGTGGTTTTTAATGTTTGAGGGGGGCAAATTTCTACGGGGTTATAAAATTATAACGTTCCTCGAAACGTACAGTTGAGTATACCAGTCTTGTTACTTGAAATATATCAATATTGTTTCTGGCTGGTTTCGAACTCAATACTAACTGGAGGAAAGGAATGTTTATATACTAAGCCTTGGCCGTGAATCTAACACAGATAAGGTAAGACCCGCTAGGGGATCACTTGTTGCGTCTCTTCTAAAGTGGTGTCATTTTAAAATAGTTAATTGTCAATAAAGTCTCTCACCTCACTATTTCAATGTAAAAGTGTTTATTTTATAACCCTATATACATAAAATTTCCATCCAAGTGACAAAGAAAAAAGCATGGACCAGACTACAGCAAGTTTAATTGTATATAATCTATGATTTTTCCAACTCTACCTTTGCTTGCATGTTTTTAAGAAGAGGTTATACATTTTTTAGCGGAGGGGAGAGAGATAGATTCCTGTGGCATCTATCCCTTGTGGAGAAGGGATGGACACCGCTGCACAAACTCGATTTGCAAACAAAGCTCATTTGATTATAAAGTGTATAATGTCCATTAAAAAAAAAAAAAAAATGTATATACATCAGAAATCTCCGGAATTCCCATAAATATGTTATTAGAAATCTTAAAAATAATATAAAATGCATGTAGAACCCTCCCTCTCTCCTTCGAATTTCAATGATAATAAAATAAAAATTCTCAGTATCCCTATTATTATTATTATTGTCTTAGTTTTCTCAGATTTCTGAAATAGCATCCACATCCCGGAGAAAAAACGTTCAAGGTAGATGAACGTAGATCTAAAAAATTACTTATTTAGAAACTTTCTGACAATCCTGCGCGTATCGAGCAGGACTGCTTATTTGGTTGCTTTTAAATGCGCCAAATCAAGTCCAAGTTCTTGGGTACCCTCTACTGTGCTTTACAAGATATGATTATTGGAGTAATCTTCACTTTTTCCAAGGTATATAGCGTTTTTCACTCGAATGCAAGTTCTTGATATTTTCTAATTTTTTCGGCCCTGGTGGTTATCATGTTGGTATCACAAGGTACTGCTATATCTATAATTTCTCCAGTTTTATTTCTGTTGTGTATAACCAAGTTATTGGGCCGGTTATGCAATACCCTATTGTCCGTTATTATATTTCGACCACAGTAAACTTTTATATTTATATTTAATTCAAGTTGTTCCGGGGCAGAGCGATTATAGGGTACCTCATCACTTTCCAGTAATCCGAATTTCCTACATACACTTTGGTGGTATATTTTTGCGACATTATTATGTCTCATGAGGTATTCCGTTCCTACCAGAGTATTGCAGCTATTGATAACATGTTGAATTGATTCATGCCCCTTCGAGTCGACACTTATCCATGGCCAAATTTTCTTTAAATATATGTTTCCTATAGACCCTGGTTGCCATAACCTGATCCGGAATAGCTATAAAAAAAAACCCTTCTGTCTCGCCATATATTTGCCCTGTCTTTAACCACTCAATTGAGAGCTCATTGTCAATCTCCGGCTCATGTAACTGGTGACAAAATCTGTCATAATTCCTTCTCCTTCCATATGGTTTTGTAATAGTAGACATTTCTCACTTCCGGTCGAACCGGATCCTCAAAATTCTGGGCCTAATTAACCTTCATCTAATTCTTTCATCCAGATGATGATTGGAGATGCATTATTATTATCATTATTTCCTTTTTTAGAATTGTTTTTATTATTAATGAAATAATAATCTGAATTTATTAACCAATAAGTAAATAAAATAAGAACATAAATACAACAAGACAGAATTGTAATGTACCAATATTGAAGAGTTATCATTATTTTAATGATTTATTTTATTATCATGCATTTATAACTTATCTCGATTGTTAGTATTTCTTTCTCCTCTTCCTCGTCGTTTAGTCTATACGTGCTTTTCACGGGCAAGAGAAGACAGAGGATTATTGCCAGCGTTAAAAGTCCTTCCGGCACCGGAATTTGAACTCATAATCTTCGGTTAATCAGGTTACTGGGTGTTTAAACGGGTGTTTAAAAAAACGCGTTAGCCAGCTCGGCTACCTCGGC